CCGGAGGATCTGGTCCACGACTCGGCGGAAAACCAGGCGGCGGCTTGGGAGACAACTGCCGCCGCTGCATTGGACCGAGTCGTGCCTTTGCGGCCTCTGACCCGACGTAGATCTCGACTGGCTCCCTGGTTTACCGGGGAGCTGAGGGAGATGAAACGTCGGAAAAGACGCCTAGAGAGCAGTTGGAGGGCCAGCCGAATCCGATCGAACACAGGTAAGGAGGCATTTTAGATCCTACCTAGTGGCGATGAGGGTGGCTAGGACTAACTACTATTCCTCACTCATCGCGTCATCAGATAACCGCCCGGCCGCCCTCTTCAGGGTGACCCGCTCCCTCCTTCAATTGAGGTTGGGGGGGATCCCCTGGAGGGGAGGGCCGAGGATTTTGCTCAATATCTGCATGACAAAGTCGCGCAGATCCGAGAAGGCTTGGATACCGACTGGTTGGCCCAGGGGGAGGAGACGGAAGCAGGTCTTGAGACGGTTGTATGGGAGGAGTTTGACTCTGTTGCTCCCGAGGACGTGGACAGGGTCCTGGGTAGGCTGAATGCAACCACGTTTGTTGGATCCGTGCCCCTCCTGGCTGGTACTGGCAGCTCGGGAGGGTACACGAGCCTGGCTCCAGGGAATTATTAACGCTTCCTTGCAGGAGGGTGTCTTCCCGGCGGCCCTTAAGGAGGCCGTCGTGAGGCCCCTCCTCAAGAAGCCTTCCCTGGACCCAGATGAGTTGGCCAGCTATCGCCCAGTCTCCAACCTTCGGCGAAGGTTGTTGAGAGTGTGGTTGCGCAGCAATTCCCCAGACACCTGGATGAAACAGTCTATCTAGACCCATACCAGTCGGGCTTCAGGCCGGGGCACAGCACGGAAATGGCATTGGTCGCGTTGGTTAATGATCTCTGGAGGGCCCGGGACAGGGGATACTCCTCTGTCCTTGTTCTTTTGGACCTCTCAGCGGCTTTTGATACCGTAGACCACGATATCATGCTGCGACGTCTCGGTGGGTTAGGAGTGGGAGGCACCGTTATGCAGTGGTTCTCCTCCTTCCTCACCGACCGTACGCAGTCTGTATTGGCAGGGGGACAGAGGTCGACTCCTAGACCCCTAACTTGTGGGGTGCCTCAGGGGTCGGTCCTCTCTC